TCATTATTTATCACTTATTACATAAATATTCAAATATTAAAATTCATTACAACAACTTTAAGATCTTTCATTAATAGTAAGTTGTGATGTGGTTATTGAGTATTGTGGCTATTGGGCGAGCTTGCATAAACAAACACACTTATCATCTTTTTAGTAGTGATGAAGCAGGATTTATGGAGTTTGCTTTGTTGCCAAGTTTGGTTAAGTGATGGTTTCTTATTGGTTTATTCGCTTCTTGGTTTATGTGTGATTGTTGTTTTTCGATAGTTTTTAAATGAATAAAATAACTATAAAAGATTGTTTCCAAACAAACAAAATGGTAACAAGATAATCAAAATGTCAATATTTATTATAATAAAAAGGACAAATTCGGCTTGTTAAATAAGGGTTTTATTGAGAATGACTGTTTTAGCCAATCAAAATAAATTTTTTTGTGATAAGAAAACCCTTTTATTTAGTATTTAATTGAAAATTTATACCTTCACTTCACTGCCTGTATAAAAAAGTGAAAAGTATTTACTCCATAATTCCTTAATAAACCCACAAATTAATATTTTTTTCTGTTTAAAAACAACAAATAGATGTTTTTGATTGTATTTTTTTGCAATAATTTTTTATAAAAACAAGAAGGACATAATATAAGATAGTAAAAAATTACTTTTTTTTATTAAAACAACGTTTTTGTTTTCAGTGTGTTTTTTAGTTTGTTAAAAAACAAAAATGTAATAAAATTTCAATTTTATTTTAAATAAAATTCAAATTTATGTTTCCAATTGTGCATGTTCCTCCATTTGATGTGAATTCGATGCGTTGGGGAGTACTACTTCTTTTAGCTGCGTTTCCAGTGTTTGTCCCTAAACAAATTTGAGCGTTATTCAAATTCACTTGAATTACTTCAATGTCACTTTTAGTGTATGTTTTACGTTTTTGTAAAATACCATGACCACAACTTCTTTCGTTCCAAGTGTTATTGTACACCGTATTCTGATTTGGTGTGATGTAGAACCCCTCTGGATTGAAAGTGCATATCATTGGATTTCCTCCATTATTATATCGAAATTGGTAACCAAAATCCCAGCCACTTTCCCATCTTTCAACTCGATGAATGGCGTTCAGTCCTGGAAGTGTCACTGTATTACCAGTTACAGCAACAACTGTGTACTCTCTGTTGTTTCTTGCCATTCTGTACTGTCTTCCTGGTGTTAAATTTGCTACATGCTCAAAACGTAACAACTCATTGATTGTAGTTGGCAATACTTCTCTTTGAGCCGTTGGGGGAACACTGTTAAGAGGGACAATAGGAACATTTTGAAGATTTTGTGCGCTAGCACCACTGTTGGCGACGACTTGCATGTTTGTAAAAGAGATGTATGAAACATTATAAATACACAAAAAATGATTATTATTTTTTAAATGAACTTTATTTTACTAAGTAGTTATTATAAATTGAATTAATTTCAAAATAAATATCATTATATTATTTTGTTCCATATATATTAAATCAATGTTATTCATAACAAAAATCATTAATTATATTAATATTTTTAAAGGTTAATATTAACATATCTAACTATATTATTAATTATGATGGTGTACAGCGTCTCCAATTTTTGCTTTTTAATATTTAGAGATCAAACTGGTATATTCTTGTTCAATATTTGGCAAAAAAAATAATAGTAGAATAAATTAGTTTTTGCTTTGATTTGGTTGATTTATTCCAAATTTGGATTTTAAAATTTTAATTCGGCAATAATAATATTGGTGCATTGTCATATTACAAAAAACATAGTTATTATTTTCTGAAAATATTAAGTTGTTCGTTTTGCATCGAAGGAATTTACGTTCACAATTAAAACACACGACAATGAATGAAACGTGAAAAGATTTTTTTTCAAATAATTGTATCAAGAGTATTTATAAATAATTATACAGTTTTTTATTAAAAACTTAAGTTGTGTTCAAAAGGGTCGTGGTTTTATGTTCTTAATTTATTTTGGTTAAGTCGTGACCTGTCAAGCACATTTAGTATTGAGATTTTTTGATGGGCAATAAAAATTGGTTGGAAGTAATTGGTCTGATAACAAAATTTTTATAATTAAAAGTCAGTGTCGATTTTTTTTTAATTTTTTCGAATCCATCAACATAAAATAAACAACAATTATATTTTGTAATAATAGCTTTTGAAAATGATAAGTTTCGTGTCTAAACTTGATTTTATAAATTACAAATATAAACAAATCTAATGAAAAGTTTTATAAAATACAACTTCAATGATTACAATCAAGTTTTTGTATTTATTATTTTTTTGTTAACTATATTTTTTTAAAATTTTTATAAAAATAAACAACAAAAAAAAGATTTTTTTTATTAATTTTAAAGTTTAATCAAATTATCAATAAATCTTTATTTAGATGAAAGTATATCTTGTAAAAAAACTTGATTGTTATAATCAAATTAAGTACTTAAATACCCTTTTGAATAAAACCATTTGATATTAATATTTCGTTCGAAAAATAAAATAATATAATGATATAATATCCAATTATATAAAGTTTTATTAATATTTACAATTAGGCCATTAAACCTTAGACAAGGAAATTAACCTTAGCCCAAAGAAAAACTAATTTATTTCTATTGTTATATTAAAATAATAAACTATACCGATATATAAGTCAAATTTCCAAAATATTTGTTTTTTTAGTAAAAACCCGTGTTTTTAAAGAAAAATATAAGAATTTCTTTGGGCTAAAGTACATTTCCCGGGCTAAGGTTCATTTTCCCTACTGTATACATATTTGTATTTTTTCGATGTAACATTTATAAAAGAAAGTTTAAATTCATTTTTTTGATTAATAGATGGCATAAAACACATTGTTTTATTTTGTACCTTTTCATTAAAAAATCAATTATTTTCAATATTTTTAATGAAATTATTAAACAAAATAGAAAAACAACAAAAAATTATAGTTATAATTATACAACTCTTATCATCATCTATTCAGATATCATTTTAAAAATTAAAATTATTTTTTAATAATTAATAAATTGATTATTTTTTTTTCAAAATAATTAAAAAGTAAAATATATTGACTTTTATTGTTCAAATTATACAACAACATTGTAAGATTTAGATTGCTAAAATTTTTGTTTTTTAAACAATACTTATATACAAAATGTCTTTTTTAAAATTGATGTCAAAAATATAAATACACAACAAAATCGATTTATAAAACAAACTTATCAAAAAATAGTAACACGATGTTTATCATTAAATTTTAACAAATATGTTGTAAACAATAATTATGTTTTTAGTTAATTTGGTGGTATTTAGATTTTTTAAAAAAATTATATTATATTCAAATTGGGTGTATTATAAATTAAAATTGAATATTTCGTATTTTTATAAAAATAGTTATAATGTTTTTTTTTGGAAAATGACAATATAAAGAATATTTTAAATTAGCTATAATACAATTTTTCTATAACAATTGTTCAAACACCAATTTCCTTTTAAAACCCATTTTTAAAACCCCGAGGCATTAATGTACAAATTTTCCAAATCAAGATATTACAATATCTATTTTTATTTAAAAACAGTTAATTTATACATCAAACTATTGTAATATTAAAATAATTATAAACGTGAAACTAAAAACCTGTGTATATTTATACCTTCAAAATACTATTAATAAATTGTTAAAATTGTTCTTTAAATATAGAAGTTTATATTAATTTTTCATGTAAATAATTTTATTATTTTAGAACAAATATGACAAACCATTAGTTACTATTTTTTGTTTTTTTTTCCAAAAATATAAAATTTTACACTAAACATTTTTAAAGATCTTTAAAATGTAAAATTTCAACCATATGGGGTTTTCTTTGAAATACATCTTTTAAAATTATTCATGTATATAAACTGTTATATTTGTATATTTTAATATTGATTTTTTAGATTGTTATAAAAAAGAAAACCATTCCTGTTATACAAATAATATACGCTTTTTCAATCTATATAAATCTCCACAAACTTTATTACATATGTTAGTCTTATTATACATCGTTTCTGTCATTTCAATTGAAGAGAAATCGATATGTATGAACGACTTTCTTGCGTTCAATTATGAAGATGACCAAACACCAGTTGTTGATCAGTTTGACTGTTATTCTGACTTACCCGATCCAATAAAAGTCAAAGGCATAAATAATCAAGCTTTATGTTATGTCAGTAAAAAGTTCATGTATATGACAAAAGACAACAACACTGTCAATCGGTGTGGAGAGTATTTACAAATAGTCGGATCATATCAAAAACAGGTATTTTGTATGATCGCAGGTTTTATGGATGTCTATAAAGAAAAAGTGACTGAAGTGTTGGAAGGGAAATACATTTCTGTTAACAACAGAATATACAACCAACTCTCTCCAAAAACCAAAGAACAACATAATTACGCGTGTCAATTTACGTTTAAACATGTGTACTTTGATTTGGGTATGAACCCCTCTCTGGAAGTTGTTAAAAGAAAACAAAATTCCACTTTAATCCAAATTATCAATAGTAATCAAATCATTTTCCGAATCAGAATCTATTCGGATACAATAGACGAATTCTTTTTACCATTGGATGATGGAAAATTCGAAATTCCAAATTATGAAGGCAATTACACTATAAGAGTCAATTCTTTCTATAATAACAGACTTGAGATTGCAGATATCAATTTAGACCAAGATGATTCATTTGAATTTGACTCAAGATTTCCCTCTGACAAAGGCGGAAACTGCTATTATGTCGTCAATAATGACATATACTCCCCTGAAGAGAAAAATGAGTCTGTTTTTTTCTTAAAATGGCACGTTCTTCAACCGGATTATGCCATCAACCTTGTTAATAAAGAAAAGACTCCAGGTGGAATAATATTTGAGCCAACTGACGAGGTGAATGGCAAAGGATTTATTTCCATTGGATATGTCTATATCACTGAAATGATGCTTGACCAAGACTTTACTCATGTTCAATTTGAATTGGAAATGGAAGACACGACAGATTTTGAACTGATTCTTGCTGACCTGGTGTACAAAACAGACTTTGTAGAATTCACAAACACCTCTTTTGAATTTGTTGATAAAGACTTGAAAACTAAATACTACATAACAGACAAAAAGGTGTCTATTAACGCTTATTACAAACCATATAGAAAAGAATTTTCAAATGGAGGTTCAATTAAGTTTTTAGTCACTAAAGGATCGTACGTGAGATTACAAAATATTACTTTGTTTAGATCGGATCTTGCTAACAATCAGTATATATGTGATTCAAATTCTTTTGATTGTTTTGGAACCGAGTGCCAAATCACAAACGAATCATATCCACAAGGTACTAACATTTGGCGCGAAAACTGTCGACCAGAATGTGGATTTTGTAGAGAAGGGTTTGTGTGCACAACAGCTGGAAAGTGTATCATAGAACCAAATGATAATTTGAGGAGTGGTATATCGAAGGTAATTACTTTATTATGTTTAGTAATAATTTTTGCCGTGTAATTCAATTTAATTGGAATTTTTATGTTAAATTGCGTGTTTAATAATTGTTTTTATATATAACCAATAAACGGTTTGCTTATAATTTATATGTTTGGTGAAATTTAAAAAAAATATTTGATGATTAGCTAAATAGAACATTATTTAAACACAAAGAAAAATTACATTTATTAATTTATAAAGTCTGTTTTCTATTTAACGATATTCTTAAAATGTAAAAAAACAGAACTAGACCAAAAATATTAAACCATTATTTACTATACCCAATATCGCTAATTAAAAACCATTAACTATTAATAAAATTGTCATAAAATAAAATTAATAATTAAAAAACCAGAGCATTGACTTTTTTAGATCACTTATTGTCGTTTTCAATTTGGCTTAATTGAAAATATAACACGTCTACTCTATCACAATTGACATTATATTCATTTTGAATAACCTGGTTGACGTGGTTTATTTCTTCGTCTTCACATTTCAACGCCAACCTTTTCTTCGTTTTGGCTTTATAATTTTTCTGTTGTTTAGCCATTATGTTTTTTGTTATTTTTAACACACTTTTATAAAAAAAGAACAAAAAATAAAATACAAACCATTTTTTAGAAAAACCACTTTATTTTTATCATAAAATATAATACTATTATTATATTTTATAGTAGAAACCCAATATCGTTAAATAGAAAACTAACTTTATTTTATTATACATATACTCGAATTAAAGTCATTCCGTATAAGTGTGCAACTTTATTTTTTCTTTGTTTTTTACTCACAACCAAGTAAAACTCTATTTTTCAACAATAACAAAAACAATAACAAAAAGTTGAATTGGGTTATAAATCAACATAAAATATAACTCGATATTTAAATGATAAGTTCAACTGCTTGTTTAATTGAAAAGCATAAAAATTCCAGAATTCCAATTGTCATACAAAACGAATAAAACAGCGTTGTATATCGATTGTGGATGGAGCAAATGTTAAACATCTCTTTATCATAAGAAAATAATGAGAGAAGCCAATTCGTGTGATTCAAAGACTTTTTCGCTGCAAAATTACAGTAAACACGACACTGTTGAATGGTGCAACCCAAAAAACTAATTGAGAAAAAATGTGCAACTTTAGTTATAGTTTAGTTATAGTATTTTAATTAGAGTAATCGTTTCAAAGAAATTTGTTTGTGTTTTCTTGTTTTGTTTCTAAAAAAAACATATAATTGTTTTATTATAATTATACTATAAACAAAGTTGCACTGACACGTAAAAGTTGTACGGTTTAAAGAATGACTTTAATTAGGTTTTGTTGATGATTTGTCTTTCAATTAATAAAAGGAATAAATCGTAGTTCAAAAGTTTGTACCTTTGTATTTTATAGAACTTTTTAAAAACCTGTTTTTAATTTTTTATTTTTCCTAAAAAACAAAAAAATACAACAAAAATATTTTCGTTTA